CGCATCATCATCAGCAGCATTATGAGCAGCATCATCAATGTCTTGTTCTCCCTTCTCCTGATCCCCCTGCTCCTCCTGCCGATCCTCATCCTCAGATCATCATCAGCATCATCATAAGCAGCATCATCACCGTTATCAGAGACATCAACATCAGCAGCATCGTCCTCATCACCATCAGCATCATCGTCATCGTCATCATCATTATCATCATCATCATCATCATCATCTTCATCATCATCAACATCCACACTATCATCATCAGCATCATCACAATCAGCATCATCATCAGCATCAGCATCATCGTAATTACCAGCATCATCAACACATTCATCATCAACGTCATCATCAGTATCATCACAGTCTCATCGCCATCGCCATCGTCATCGTCAGCATCATCATCGTCATCATCATCAGCATCATGATCATCGATCATCGCCACCATCAGCAATAGCACCGTCAGAATCGCCATCGACATCGAAATCGCCGTCATCATCATTATCATCGTCATCATCATCAACACCCTCATCAACATCATCAGCACCATGAGCAGCAGCATCATCATCATCCTCACCACCATTATCGTCAACACCACCACCACCATCATGATTCTCATCATCAGCAGCAGCATGAGCATCATCATTCTCATCAGAATCATCAGCATCATCATCGCTTCCACCGTAGTCATCAGCAGCAGCATCACTACCAGCATCATCATCACCACCACCATCATCACCATCAACACAGGCATCATCAACAATAGCATCGTCCTCCTCCTCGTCATCACCCTCACCATCAGCATCATCACCATTACCAGCATCATCAGCATCAGCAGCATGAGCATCATCCTCACCCACATTCTCACCACCATCACCATCGTCAACACCACCACCACCACCACCATCATGACCATCATCACCACCATATTCATCTTCGTCAGCATCATCATCGTCGTCATCATCATAAGCATCGTCACCATCACCCTTCTCATTAACATAGTCATCACCAGCATCATCATCATTATCAGCATAATCATCATCATCATCATCATCATCATCATCATCATCATCATCATCATCATTATCATCCTCATCATCACCACCGCCATCATCGTCATCACCATCCTTACCATCATCACCACCACAGCCATCAGCATCATCATAATCGTCATCGTCATCATCGCCAGCATCAGCATCATCATCATCAGCAGCAGCATCATCGTCCTCGTCATCCTCTTCCTCACGCTTTCCTCGCGCCCCGCCAAGCGTCCGGCCCTGGGCAGAGGGCGGTCTGGCGGCAGGCCGCAGCTGAAGCGAGGAAAGGGAGCAACACGGCATTACTAGTGCGCACGGGATACTGTCGAAGATAAAACCAAAACGGACGCCCGGTGCGTGACGCTCGCAAAGCGCGCCGCGCGGGCCAGACGCGCCTCCCGCACAAGCGTGCGTGTAAGGAGCCCCGGGGGCCCGCGAGCCCTTCTCGTGGGGCCGCGCCACGCGAGGCGCCAGAGAGCGGGTGGCGGCCAACGCGCGCGGCTCGCCCGCTTGCGCGCGGTCCGGGCGCGGGCGCGGAGTTTGCGCCCGCGCACGCAGCGGCCAAGTGCAAGTGCGCGCGATTTCGATGGCGTTGCGCGCCCCAAACACACTGCACTCCAGCTGCGCCAGCGTCCTCCCGCACCCGAAGGTGCCCGCGCCCTTCAGACAGGGGGTGCATCACCCGCCGCGCCGCCCAGCCTGGCGGTGCCAGACTGAGCCGACGCGCGGAGCGCCAACGATGCAGGCACCCCTACCCGATGCACGCCGGCGCGCCGCGCGGCGGCGACGCGTGCGGCACAGGCGCCCCATCGCGAAAACGGGCGACGCGCGCGGCGACGCCAGAGATCACACGAGGGCAGCGCGCAACGCCTAGGCCGCCAAGGTCTAGCCGAGGTTGGCGCCGAGTTCCAATTGCGCCATGTCGATGTACGACAGAAGGCGGGCGAGGACGAGTCACCCGCTCGAAGGATCTCGTGCGAGGTGCCACCCCTTGGCTGAAGGCCCAACGCGCGACCGCGCCGCAGGTCATGAGCGCAATAGAGTGCAGCGCCTTTGATGCCGAGCTGGCCGCGAAAAGGCGCAGCGTGCGCAGAGAGCTTGCCGCGCTAATGCCCGCAAACGGCATGGCGCCCACGGGCAGAGTCGCGAATCGTGCGCCAAGCGCATGGACTGGGCACGCCACGGTGCAGCGAGTGCACCAGCACGCCCGCCGCAGCACGGAAAACGAGTGCTTGATCCTGCGACGCGTCAAATTGAACTGCAGGGGGTCGTCGCATCGAATGAGGGTAGACTCTGCGCCCTGCGAAACGCGACGCCGTCGAACGAAGTGTCCAAGACCTCGGAGGGGAGGCGCAAGAGAAATGCCTACGTGACAAGAAATAGCTGCGCGAAGACGGCGGACTTGCGCGACGAGAGACGAGAGGCATGGGGGTCCAGCACCACAGGCATTCCCCAAAGAGGGCAATCTT